AACGAAACAGAAAGGTTGTTTCTACTGTAGCTGAATTTTACAAAAGCGACCTTAAAATTTTATTTTCAAATAGTTTTTCCAATAAAATACATTGTGTATAAATACAACATCAGGAAAAAAAGACTATATGTGTTTCTATAGAAAGCCGTCAATAAACTCCGAACAATTAGGAAGGGAATTATTCAAATTTTGAATCTAATCGAATATTTATTCGTAATAGTGAACATAGGGACGGATACATTCACATGCGGGTGTCGAGCGGTTAGATTGGCGGGATTGGTGTGTGTGTGATGTCACGCGGTCGTGTGACGTGTTTGACGGATTATATGTTAACGTGACACTTCTGTACGACTCCTGGGTAATATCAAAATTATACGTAGATAAAAAGGGTTTTTGCAAATCTTGTATTTGTTTTTACTTCAGTAAATTACTAGCAATTGCACCTGCGATTATGGTCACTGCTCCCCTCCTAATATCGTAGTGTAATGTTACATAACCTTCCTCAGTTAATACTTTTCCAATATAAAAATGCCTGTGGCATTAAGTCAGCTTTATGCAATATGTTTGCAGGAAGATCAATAAAAAATAAAAGAGTTATTCCGATCTAACCGATTAATTATTTAAGAGATTAGGGTGTAAAACATACAATCAAACAAAAACTCTTCTTTATATGAGCCTCTTCTCCTTAGTTTATTTAGAATGAAAGTAAATATTTAGAATGAGATTTCTTCTTCCGTTCTCTTCTCTCATTCCTCAGTTTACTTCTTACTCCATTTCTAACCATATTCTCTTTTATTACCATATCATATTCTTTTTGATCGTCCTCTACCCTTGTATCCGTCAATTTCCATAGATAGGTAGATTTTAGTACATTAACTCAATTTTCAATTAAGGCTTTATTATATGCTAAAACTTAATCAAACTTTTGGAAGGGATATTGTATAAGTTACAATTAATAGACAACTTGTTTGAATCCTTTTACAATTTGGCGCTTTTGTTTGCATAGTTAGGTTCTAAGTTTTGCTCTTGAGCCGTCTTGCAAAACTTTATTAACCGCAGGAAATTAATTAACGGAATGTACTACTATTTAACCGTCTTTTAAATATCCAATAGCAACTTAAGTATAATTTTTTTATACTCACTGTTAATGTCGATTTTTTCAATAAATTTTGCCGGCATAATTACAGCTTATGTGCTATACAGACTGATATTTTTTATGCCGAATTTCATACAGATCGATTCAGCCGTTTCGGCTTGATTAAGTAACAAATGTACTTTCAAACTTTCGCATTTATGTACGTAAGATAATAATATTTAAATATATGTAAATTAAAAAATTTAAAACTCGATAATGTTACCATTTTACTTTACAAAAGATCTTTCTAAAAGTTGAAATAATAATATCAGTTAATAAATTAAACTATGTTATGACATACTGAAAGGAAGACATATGTGTACATATATAATTCAGGTGATCACGTCAAAGGATTACGTTCCGATACAAACGGGATTATGCGGCAAACAGTCAGTAGGGCCAAAGTGCTCATCAATCATTGGCAATGTCACCAAACCGCCAACGTGTACACTACACCGACCGCTGAATATATCATCCGAACATTATCTCGTTTGTGAATTTACCAATCATTCTAACCTAGAATTGGCCGAATTAAATTGAAAGTAATTGGATTGTTTGAAATTTGTAATCCGATACGATTTTGAAAATAGAATCGCAAATATAGAAACTATTCCATTTTTAAAATACGTATAAACGTTTGTTTTTTTTTTAAATTGGCGGGTTGATGTTTCCTCCAGTAGCAGGACGGACGTACATATCATGCCCTTCTATCGTGCTACCGATCTTAAGCATTCTTTTCTTGCTTTTCACCCAGTAGGTACCGAACCTCTTCCCCCCTCCTAAATCCAAGAATTTTGGAGTATGGGGGGCACTAAAAAAATTGCAACGAGGTGGTGGGCCACAGTGACTTTTTCAAAGTATTAAGATTCATGTTTATCAAAATGTCTTACTACAGCATTAAGTTAAAAATTTAATCACGTTTTCCTGTCAAAAACCTTACATTTGGGAGTTACGTTCCTTTTTGATTTGTGCCACGTAAATAAATAAATGCAGGGGTGTGCCTTTATCTCGCGACGTATCGCGCGAATGTTCATGCATTATTTATAAACTAAGGACAAGGGATTTGCAATTCTCTCGGGTATATTGAACAACTTTTATACTTCATCATTCAATATTAAGGATTAAACTGTGGCAGTGTTTGAAGATTCTTCTTCATACACCTTGATAGAATATTGATGAAACAATATGGTTTTATGAGAAATTACAATTATTAATTCAATTGTTTTGTATTTACTGTAAATATCTTCAATTTTAACCGTTAACAACAGTATAGATGTAGATGGCAAAACCCACTGCATAAAAATGACATACTTATAAAAAGGGACGCACGTAATCCCACGTTCTGGTGCCAAATAATCTACGCTTTTTATTTACATCAAAAATTTGGTCTTCTGTATTAACGTAATACGTGACATCATAAAAGTAGGGTTGTCACTGAAATATATGCTCGCCGTCCCCGTGCGATCCTCATGAATTTTAACTTTTACAAGTGCTTGGGTGTTTTGAATAATGCGCGTGTGACAACCCTGTAGAGGGCGAACTATTTTTGACTTTTGTTTGATCATATCGAGTATTTGATAATTATTTTTCACTTTAAAGTTGTGTTTAAAACTTACCATGGACTACTTTAAATTCATATTTTTTATTTCATTAAACTAGAAATGATCCATTATAATTAAGTATCTCTTTTAATGTTAAAATTAAAGATTAACAAGAAAACATTGTACGGAGATACGAATGTTGTAAAAAGCTTTATTTTCTCTCTGGTTTTGATAAGACTACGTTATATTTTCTTCTCATTCTTCTTTCTTTTTTAGCCGATTTACAGAAGCCTAGAACTTCTGTCTTGAGCGTCTGTACTTCGCATGAGTAGCCTTTGCACATTTATTTAAATTGAGATCGGCGGATCACTAAACTTTCATATTTAAATGATAAATCTACAACAAAAACGTGGAATTCAACAACAAATATTTTGCATTTATGTGACATCATAGTTTAAATTACACTGGAAGGTCAAAATCTTTAAAAATGGTAACCCTTACAAAACCGCGTCACTGCAACAAAAGGTTGCAATAAAGAAAAACAGCAGTACCCATAGCGTAGCAAGTCCATTTATATAATAAACCCACATAAGTCGTATAAAGATACCCGTATCTTTTTTCAACGTCCCCACTTTGGGGTAAAAAGGTAGGATATATGCGGACTATTCCGGAAATACAACACTAAATTTGTCTACACGAGCCGGCTATCTTTGAAATGAAGGTAATTTTTAAGTCAGAGGGGCCAGAAATAAGATTATATTTTTTTAATAAAATGAACTTGTTAAAAAACTGGGAATGAATTTGTACTGACGATAGTTATCCCTGTAAATACAAAAAACTGAAGTCTGCTATACAAATATGTATAGAATACGTATGTTATAAAGCTATATTCCTAGCAATACACTATTATGATGACATTGTTATGTAAAAACCTATTCCTGTCTAGCAGAGAACATCTCCATATGTCTCCAAAGTGCTTTACGAATATGCAACAATCTTCTTGAAGTACTCCCATAACACCCACCTGGTCTATTTCCAGTTCTGAATTGCAGTTCTCCTAACTTAGCAGACACATGTGCTGCTAGTGAGTTTGTTCCTTCGCTTCTTCTTCCCAGCTAAAACACTAGGAAGTGATGACGGGTTGGGCGTTTTTGGAGGCCTGTCTCTGTAAACAATGCGTTCAAATAGCACTCAACCCAATTTAAGTAAATGATTTTAGATTTGATTTGATTTTTGGAAAATAACTCCTCACACCTCTAAGCACTTACCTACCTTTAAAGCATAACGCCTTTATGCTTATAAAATACGTCTGATATCTACAATATTTTTGTCTTGTCTACTGTGTTATTGTTTGACTTGTAGCAGTAGACTTAAAATTCAACTGACACAAAAAGCCATTACGGCACGTTGTTACCGGAATATTTTTAGACACTTTCTGGAAGTTTCCACCCTCTGTAATGCTGTACTATAATTATGAAGGGGAACGAAATTAGACTACTGCACCCAAGCGTAAGAATCGTTTCACATAAATGCTTTCGTTATTGATTTAATACTGGATGTAGATAAACGTTTATAAATCTATATGTCAATACACGAAGAGAATTCTATGAACGCATTTCGCGATCGAAGGAATTTCAAACTTAGAATATTTTATAATAGTCTAGAAAGCTAAAACAGTTACACGTTTCTTACAAATTGAAAAAATGTACGAAATACAGACTATATGAAAAGTAAAATACACACATATCTAATCGTTGATAAGTTTTCATCAATATATATAAAATTACTTGGCCTGAATGACTGACGCATTCACCTACCCAAAGCGTTAACCGCCGGGGTTTCAAACTTTAAATTACGGCAGCTGATGCTTTGTACGTTGTAATCACCCACTAAGAAAGGATTTTTGGAAATTTCATACCTAAGGGGGTAAAATAAGGCATGAACGGTTATATGGAAGTTTGAACGAAGCCGCAGGAAGATTAGCTAGTTTTTTAATGTAATAAAATATTCAATTTTATTAACCAGGTGGTAGAACCCGATGGTGTCACTTCTAGCCATCACTGCCGCCCTATAATAGGTAGTAGTACAATACCGATAAGGGCTTTCAATCAAGTTAGAACCAAAAAAAGGTGCATCCAGTGAATTGTTTTCCCCGTACATTACCGTCCAAGAACCATTAATTGCGTTCGCTTCGAAGCGGATTGCTAAACCCCCTAAGAGCTTTTACGAAGTGTCGTAAATAACTAATAGTTCCAATACAAAATGTACTCAACTTGGAACGTGTTAAGGTAGAAATTGCTGTGAAGTGTTCAGTGGCAATTGAAATGTTAGGGCCGCCCCTGCACGTTTGGTCATCATTTGTGGCCGGTGCCACCTTAGGTGAGGCAAAGACAATGATTTTAGGGTAACATGTACTAATTTGGGTTCATTGTTTAGTAAGACGTTCACTACCAAATGTTCTTTAGTATATTGAGCCAGTAATATAGCATCTATTTACAGGTTGATTACGTCGTTATTCCCATTGTCGACGCTTACTTAGGCGTTCGGGGTTTGACTTCGAGATCTGGCAAATCTGGGTTTATCTTTTACGTCTTGAAACTTAGGCAACGTACGTTTTTGTACGACATTACACTTACGCTTTTTATTTGGTTTGGTGGTATGTAAGAAAATGTGAGGGTTTAATATGTGCTGTTTTCTGTCTGACTGCAAATGTTTCCATAAGGTTTAGTAACTTCCACAGTTCTGTGGGTACATTTGGAATAGAAATCTCCTGTACTCTATTTAAATGTAATTCTAGCAGAATTTGGCTATCTACAGACTACATAATTCAATTCGTTCTTGCTAGTTCTGCATCATTAACAATCACAAACCATTGAGAATACTTTTCCTAAAGGTTTTTTAAAATAATTATGTTCTAAAGTAGAAGGTAATGTAATTTGGCTATCTGAAGTAGTTGAAAAACATTATGTTCAATATTATGTGCAAAACAACTGCAATATAACCAGTTTAATTAAACTTTTGTTATAAAGATTCTTTCATTTAGATTATAGAATAATTTCGTTGGATCTTATCATACAAAAAAGTTTTATAACATTCCAATTACTGTTGATATGATGATGAAGATATAAAGGTTCTATGTAAACAATAATTGGCTTGTTGGTCTAGTGGTTAGTGAGCCTGACTTCTAAGCAAGAGGTTTTGGGTTCGATTCCCACCCAGGACAAATAATTGTGTGATGAGCATGATCATTTGTTCTGTGTCTGGGTGGGTGTAATTTAACAATGATATGTATGAATTTAGAAATATATAAATACGTTTAGTAGCAGTCTGGTTACCATATTACATGGTTCTGCCTTGTTTTGGATCTGCCTGAGTTGTAAAGTTTATTATTAGTTATTAATATTATTATTAATAACTAATAATAATTGAATTGAATTGTCAAGTTATTATGACAATTCTCACAAAACCGTCTATTTCCAAATCTGGAAGAACTTATATGGTAAGCAATTTGTTGATGCTAAACCACTACTATTTCACGCCAAAAAGTTGCCATTTTGTTTTTTTCTTTCAAAAAGTCAAAAAGGTTTTTGAAACAGACAAAACAATACCTTAACTTTCGAAATCCATTCAGCCATTTAGAAGATACGAGGTAATAAAGAAATAAACAAACAAACATGCAAGATACGTATACATATACATAACCCTTCCTTGGCAGTCGGGTAAAAGCGATCGAAAGAATAGTTTTCATTCACTTTTAATAATAACATAATACACAAAGGACGACTGTTCGTGTAGTGACGGATTAAGAAAACGGAATGTCACTACCCCAATTCATCCCGTTGATGTGATGATGTGACACAAAGGATATTTTCATATATTATTATTTTACAAGTGTTATTTTATAAGCTAAAGTTTTGAAATTGTATAAAGAAAAACTGATTTACCGCGATACTTAAAACCTTATGAACTATCTTCCTTTTAATTAGACTGTAAACTACATCTTCATGTTTTCGTTAAGGCTCTTTATATACGTCTACAATGTAGGTATTGGAACCAGTCCCGATACCAAGGATGTACGGTACTGACCTGACAAAGAACACGGCTTTGTCTTGTCCAAACCTATTAAGTTCGACCGTCTTTATCAGTTTAACAGTCGACAGCAAATGGGTAACGGAAATTCTAGTAAAACGTAGATATAGTATCATGTGTGTTACTTATGGAGTCTATTACTGTTTAATGAGACTTGCAGAATGCATACCTTCTTCTGTAAATTTTAATTCCAACACACACACACATACACACACACACTCATTTAGTAGTAGTTTTATACACTCTCAACAATAAGACTTATCTGCCACACTTATCATACAGGCCTGTCCTAGTTCAGATAGCAGTCTCTCACATAGAAGCATAGCAATGTGTCTAATGGGAGGGAGATAGGGGATCGCACTTGTCTCTTATGTCATAGGTGCCTATAAGCAGCTGTAGTCACAATCAGTTGACCCAGTAAATGAGGTCAACGGAGCCATAAACCCTATCTCCCCACATTAATGGGGGGGGAGGGGGCTGCAACGCACTTGTCTCTTAAGTCGTATATGCTTATGAGCAGCTGTAGCCATAATCAGTAGACCTGTCACACGTCAGATTATGAGGTTTATTTGTTGCCAATATCCATGACCAAAATATTGTTTTAAAAATCGCCGTTGACACATCGCTAAGTGCTGTATCGTTGTTTCGATAGGTATATAGCATCGTATCTTGCTCCCCTATACTAAGGTTGGTCTACAATATTTGAAATACCGTACAAATATGACGCAGTTCAACACTTTTAAGTGTGTTGCTGAACAAATAAAAAACAGACGAGATCGATGCACCGTAATTATCGTAAACAACATAGTACGTTGGTACATACATTGAAATTGGTAGTAATTATCATAGATGCTCAGGAAACGTAACTATAAACGTTATTAGGTAATGTAACACACTATGGCTTGGGTTCAATTTTGTATTTTTCTCAATATAACTAAAGCACGCTTTAATAATATTAATAAAAGTTTTAAAAGTAGTTGATACATGGCCAGTGAATAAATTTCAAGGGTCGTCGCAGATGAGAGAAATGAAACTACGAACAGCTCAGTAATTCAATTCGAATATATATCTCCAAACATAGGTGTCGTCATTTAAAAAAAAATATAGGCTTGTGCCTATATACTCGTACTACTACTACTACCTAAAAACCAAAAATAGAGCGATTCAGTCGGACTGACCAACGCCATCTGTCGAGCGCTCTACTGAAGTGATACCACGGAGTCACAGGAAACCGGGGTTAAACAATTCTTTCGCTACTTTTCTCTAAGTGAGGTTGCCCGGAGTTACAGGTGTCTATAGCCGTACTCGCCGCTTATACTCGTACTATAAAAAAAGACAAAAACCAAAATTTCATTCATACGTCGAAATTATCAAACAATCGCTAAGGAACGTTATTCCTAATCGTGGCTAGTGCTAACATTACTGCATTCCAATCGAAATGTAATTTCGAAACATATACCAAGCGTCTATAACTGCAGATCGACTAATTTGTCGCTTAAAACGTACAAATTCGAAACGATGTCTTCATTAGTCGGCCGGCCATTCCGCATGCACATAGCATCGGGCTTGCAATCGAGCACTGGGACTAAACTGTGCCCCTTTAATGTATTGCGGTCGTTTCCATCCATCACGACAAATACCTATAGCCTAGCATACAGCTAGAGCGCCATTGTCTAGATATTGGAGGGACATGCTCCGAATTGGTACAGAAATTGGACTGCAAACTTTAGCTTAAGCTAGTCGGTACTTTTAGTTTTACTTTTCTAGTTCGAGAACAACCTGATGATTAGTATTATTCTGGATTTTTTGTCCAATACTGGGCATTATATCGATTCATGTGTTCGTGAACGAATAAATCAGTAATTTAAAAGAGATAAACCTACAAACCGATGCACGTTTTCAGTACAAAAACAAAATAAGCTGCCAAAAGGCTTGTGAAAAATCTAAAATTAAATTTGTAAATGTTACGTTTATTAGTTCAAAGTATAAGTAGTAATTTTATTTTTCATTCGTAAACTCATTTTTTTCATAACAAAGTCTAATTTATATCGTTTTAAGCTGACATTTTGAAATAAATCACTGCGCGCTACATGGGGGTTCCCACAAAGAAGGGGGTCATCTACCCGCCGTAGATGGCTCAAGGTACGTCTGGGTACCAAGGATTTCCTTTCTAGTGTACACCTGGTTCCCCGGCTACTGATACCCGAGACGGCGTGCGGTTTTTAGCCGGTTCGAGTCTGACATAGCCACCGGTAGGTGGTACCCTATTTCCGCACAGAAAAAAAATGGGAAACTCAGACACCATATAATTTAACCACACCCTATAACGAGTTCGACTCTTCGACTAGAACTAAAGTATAGATATATTGGTTCCTACACTGCAGTGCGGCGTCGGGGCTAGAGTATCGCCAGGGCCATTTCTTTGTACAAATGACGTGTTATTTATTTAGTGTCATCACTGGTATCTGACGCTCCAGCTTTCCCAACAGTGAAATTCGGGTACGGCCGATAAAATACGATACAATAACGAGTTGCGGGTATAAATAAAAAATAGAACTTACTTATCCAATAGCACACTTTCGGGAAATATATATATAATGAATTATTGTTAAGCTTTAAAAGAATTTTGCACACATATTTTTTTTTAATAAAAGTTACTACTGTCCCAAAACTACTTACCTACATGTTTGGTAGCCCTGCACAGCCGTGAGGCAAACTTGATCACAATTTAGACGGCGTACACGTCACTTGGGTCGTCTACTGATGTATTGTTAAGAAACATATCATCAACAGCCTATACTAGTCCACTGACATAGGCCTCTCCTTAGAAAGGAGGTTTTGGCCTACTATACCACGCTGGCCAAACGGGTTGGTATAGGGTTTGTTTCAAGTTTTCCTTCTCTTTGCAGTGCTGTTGTCCTGCTTAGTTTGCTCCCTTAGTCGGCTCTTACGACACCCACGGGATGAATTGGGGTGGTGACAATTTGTATTCTTAATCCGTCACCACACGGACATATACATGAAGAATAGGAATAGGAAGAAACATATACATGAATAGAATTTGATCCAATTATTGTACGAATTTGGATGGATTTCTTCGTTTTGGTAGCAAGAATCTAACCACCAACTTGTATATTCTGCAGACTAGATACTTAACTTAAATAAAACATGTGCTGTCTCTTTATTGAATTCCAGTTTATAATAACTAATTATTTAAAGAAATTTCCGCTTCGTAACAAGTCCAAACGTAGTTGTATATAATAGTTAAGTGCCCTACCTATTATATAATATACACAAAATATAGATCTAATTATTATTCCCTGTCCGTTTTATCCCGCTACCTTTGTATTTTTTAATTAAAATCTAAACAAGTACCTAAGCGGGTGATATTTCATAAAGTTGCTCGACGCGCGCGGGATTACCCTCATTACAATTCCAAATTTGCACCTAAATTGCATCTCCAAAATAGACATTTAAACCGTTAAACCAACTGACTACCACGGCCATTCACCTCAAATATATATCTCCCCTAAGGTAAAATGAGGGAGCCGAAATACTCCACCCTCTAATTCGAGAACGGATCCCCTTACGCGTCACCCTATGCGTTGCCATGGCAACCCCGCCCTTGGGAAGTGCATCTGATGTAAACATTGGTAGCTCTCCCTGCCTTTCAAAACCGTTATTGATGTTTTCACTAGCGTACTTCGCTCCTTCCTGTGCTGCGCTCAGTTACTCGTAAATTTGCCCGAAAATATCGAGTAAAGCTATGCTATTTATCAAGTTTATAGCATGGCTTCCCCTGTATCTAAGGTCACGACTTCAAAGGAGAATGCGTTTAAGTAATACCTACTACTTTTATAATATCTTTTATGGCCCGTGTTATGAAATTAAATATTTATACCAAGTGCATTCATTTTCTAAGAACTGAATGTAATTTATCTTTATATCAACCTTTCTGATTATAATTATAAATTTAGATATCTTATTTCTTTTCCTGGTTAATAACTTTTCGTTTGTATTGTTTCAGGGATGCCGGTTTCCTGAAGATGGCCTCACGCACCCCGTCCCTTGAGTCGCTGCCCGGTGCCAACTCAATAGGTTCGCTGGAGCGTGGCTCCTTATCGCCCTTGACTCTTAGCGGATCCTCGCCCCCAGCGAGTGACTCCGCCGTATGTGACCTCCGCGAGTTCGACGGCCTCGACACCACCTGTGCAATCTGCCGAGAGACATTCGTCGACCCCAAAGTACTCAATTGCTTCCACACCTTTTGCCGGGCTTGCCTGGAAAGAGAACAAACACACCCAGACAAAGTTACCTGCGTCACTTGCCGCGTAGATAGTCTGCTGCCTACGGCCGGCGTGAACGGGCTACTCACGAACCTTGTGATAGCAGCTGCTGTCGAACAAGACGCGGATCTCCTGCCATCCGCTCGCCAAACCAGCTCACCTTCAGCCAGGTGCACTGGTTGCAAATCCAAGGAATCCGACGCTGTCGCTCGTTGTGTCGATTGTGCTAACTTTCTCTGCCCCAACTGTGTAATGGCGCACCAATTCATGCATTGCTTTGAGGGCCACCGAGTGTTGGCTTTCACAGATCTAAAGGATGACAAGGGTATGTTGGGATCAACTACTATTACCACTAGTGGCGAAAAGACCGCTTTCTGCCCGAGACACAAGAATGACATTCTCAAATATTTCTGTCGCACTTGCTCTGTGCCAGTATGCAAAGAATGCACTATAATAGAACATCCTGCTGCCTTGCACGACTGCGAACATTTATCTGACGCAGGTCCTAAACAACTAGAATTAATGCAACAAGCTGTTACTGAGGCCAAGACTCGCGCCACTGAAATAAGGCACGTCGTCAAACTGTAGAACACGCAGCGGGAAAACTACAAGTCCAATATCATAAAGCTCAAAATGAAATAAATGATACGTTCCAATTCTATCGCTCAATGCTTGAAGAGCGTAAACAAGAATTACTGAAGGAACTCGAAAGTGTATTTTCGACAAAACAAATTGCTTTAACGGTTGTGGGGCAAAAGGCTCAAGAAACTGTTGACAAGATATATCAAACATGTGACTTTGTGGAACGACTGACTAAATGCGCTAACATAGCCGAAATACTTATGTTTAGGAAACTCTTAGATACGAAATTGCAATCTTTAATGAGTTCAAACCCAGAGCAAAGCGTACAAACTGCATGTGAGTTGGAATTTGTATCAAATTATCAAGCTATCCAAGTTGGCGTAAGAAACACTTTTGGATACGTGCGCTCTAGTTCAGAGGCGAATGTTGGCCCTACTAAACAACCGCCTATTGCTCGCCCTACTAATGGCTCTCTATTGAATGGAGGATCATCATCGAGTAGCAGCAGCGTTAACGGAAGCTCAGGAAGCTTAAATGGTGGAATTCATCTTCCATCAGGATTGAATGGCGTGATCGAACGGCCCTATACAAATGGTCTCCTTGGGCCCACCAGCCAGTCCACTTCTCCTTTCGAATCGAATATTATCTCCAAAAGATTCAATAGTGTCAATAGTCTTGGCCCATTCTCTACCGCCATTGGAGATATTAATCTGAATGGAATCAATCCATACGAGAAATGGTCAAATGGTGGATGCGATTCACTTTTCCAACCGACAACGGTTGATCCTTATTCTCTGACCAATTCGGCTCACGCAGACCCTATTTTAGATTTGACAAACAAGCTTATCTCTACTGCCATTTTCCCACCAAAGTCTCAAATCAAGCGACAGAAGATGATCTATCACTGCAAGTTCGGTGAATTCGGGGTTATGGAAGGTCAGTTCACTGAGCCAAGTGGAGTAGCTGTTAATGCTCAAAACGACATAATTGTTGCCGATACAAACAATCATCGTATTCAGATATTTGACAAGGAAGGTCGCTTCAAATTTCAATTCGGGGAATGTGGAAAACGTGACGGACAGCTGCTGTACCCAAATCGAGTCGCAGTTGTCCGTACCTCTGGTGACATAATCGTAACTGAACGGTCACCCACACACCAAATCCAAATCTACAACCAATATGGGCAATTTGTGCGTAAATTCGGCGCTAATATCCTTCAGCACCCTCGTGGAGTTACCGTTGATAACAAAGGCCGTATCGTTGTTGTTGAATGCAAAGTTATGCGCGTAATTATCTTTGATCAAATCGGCAACGTACTGCAAAAATTCGGATGCTCAAAACACTTAGAATTTCCTAATGGAGTTGTGGTCAACGACAAACAAGAAATATTTATTAGCGACAACCGCGCTCACTGCGTAAAGGTATTTAACTACGAGGGTATTTATCTGCGCCAGATCGGAGGTGAAGGTGTTACCAATTATCCTATCGGTGTTGGAATTAACGCAGCTGGCGAGATCTTGATCGCCGACAATCACAACAACTTCAACTTGACGATATTTACGCAAGACGGCCAACTGGTATCCGCGCTGGAGAGTAAAGTGAAACACGCTCAATGCTTCGATGTGGCGCTAATGGATGATGGGTCTGTGGTGCTTGCGAGCAAAGATTACAGGCTGTACATTTATCGTTACGTGCAAGTGCCGCCGATAGGTATGTGAGTTGCACGCCATGATCACAGGAGGTCCGAATGACCGACGAACTATATGCCAAAATTCGACACTCCGATCCGTAATTAAATCGACGAAAGGACTTACCGTTCTGGCGGTGCGTGTCAATTTTTTGTAGGTTCAAGTGATGATTATGTTAACGGAACGTATGTAAAACGTGTGTTGTGGTGCAACCGGCGTGGGCGTTCGGTGTGACCATGCCGGCTAGCGATGGGTATTCTCTACATATTCGGCGTAAGATCTCTTTATGAATTATTTCTAAACGAAACTGTAATGAGATTAGTTATAGTATTGATATTGTTATTCAAGTACCTATTGATTGATGGTTAGAGATTAATTCCGTTGAACGATCCGGATTCATGCGAACGGTGTCTTTAACCCTTATCATTTTTTGATCTATTGAATAATATTTTTTCATATCCCACATCGTTAAATTAGGGATGAATATTAAGGGCATTTGTATTATTTAGCCCATTTGTTGGACCAATATTTTAACTATTATTACTTAACAAATTGTTAGGCGTTAAGCGTGTGATTTTATCGTAAATAAGAGATCATCGAGCGGTATTGTTGTTAGTTTTAAGATTATTTCTACGGCACAATAGCACTTCCTGTTTTTAATTAGCACTTATTCTGTGTCGATGAAAAATGGAATATAAAAATCTAAGTAAGGAGTTGTTACATTATTAATTAGGTAAGTGTTAAATTGATTGCGCTGAAATGGACAATCTTTAGTTACTACCCTCTTAAAGTAGTTACAAAATTTTAGGGAAATAATGATGTTAGGGGTTTTATCAATGACAAAGTTGACTGCGGCGTTTGGGCATGTGCAAACAATGACCATGAACCTCTATTGAATATCTAAATATTTCTTTTATACGTAATAATAACATCACAGTGGCGATCAAGAATGTTTTATATACCTTAATTAGTTCCAAATTTAAAGCACTCGACAGTGTCACCCCCTTTGAGAACTATAAAGCATTTTTCGATGACACGAAGATTGCAACTTTTCCACTTTGTTATTTTGTCGAAGGGCAGTACTTGGAGCAGTAAATTTATATCTATCGTTGATACCGCCTAGTCACTGAGAGCCCACGGACCTTCGTCTCCTGATGTTGTTTTAGTAACATTAGGTTCATTATATAGTTCGTTTTTATGCATTGAGTATGTTTAAGCATTGGACAAGGTAGTAACTATTAGAGCACTTAGAAAATGGTCGTTTCGCTAGCATCTTTTTTATTTAATTTTTTTGAGATTTATAGCAGATTTAATAGACAACGCGTAAGCGTACCTACCTACTTACTGCGAGTATTATTAACAGCTCGGTATACAAAATAATTATACAATTTGTTATTCTGGTAAGATATTTTTATACGGAACCAACTTTATTTTTGTAGTATTTAGTATTACGGTGCATGTGTAACGTATACTTTCTTTTGTATTTTATGAATATCGCGCTATTATTAATATTTTTTTACTACATTACCGTGTGTTTGAGTGTGTTAGCAGAATTATTTTAGTTTGATTTTTTTCACTAGAACGTTTTGGTTTTCTTAGCAAATAATGTTTTTTTAGTATTTTTTTCTCGCTGAATCTATGACAATAGAGAGATCTGGTGCGATCTGCGGATCGGTATCTTAATGATCTGTTAGTTTTAGGTTACGCGTTTCCATTTTGGTGATATTTCTTAAATAAATTAAATCGTTTGAAGGTGCGTCGGTGGGCGAGACGTGACACTGTGGCGACCTGTTTATCGTGTGCCATAAGATCATGTTGTGATTTAATAAGTGATATTTAGTATTGTTTGTAAATATGTACCATACTTTCATATAAATCTAATCGTAAGGTTGTCTGATCGAAATACTATTGAATTTTCAATTTTACACTTCTAGTGCGGGTCAATGTATTGTTATTATGATTTTGTTATATTTATTTACCACCGAATAATGGTAAGTTATTGCAATCGTTATGAATATATAAGTATATCCATGTATAATATATGTATAACTAGATATATATTTTTATCAATAATGTTAATAATAATATTTAAAAAAAAACAATTGCCAAGAATTAATTATATAGAAAAAAATGAAAAGGACAGATTCGTTCTATATCGATATATAATGAATTTATTTGTGGTACTTGCACTAAAAGTAAATTGTTGTGAGAACAACTGATTTCTTCGCATTGTTTCCTGTATCGCCCACCACAGTGTCCGCGAATTCGTCACCTAGACGCATCTTCGATCACATAGTTAATAAAAACACTGGATTAAGTGAATCGCGCCGCCTCGTCTTAGCGTCCAAATTTCAGTGATTATTCACCAATGATTTTATTATAGACTGTCTTGTTCCTATATCCTACGACGCCGCGATACATGCCTTTCATTTAATCCACTGAGAACATTGATTTTAAGGAAGTTGATACGCTGACTCTACCAGGCCTCAGTCCATCTTGTCGAACTGTCGATGCATATTATTTTATTCACCAATCATTTCCACAATTCGCCTTAGTGGTCTGAGGCCTTGGAGAATTCGGTAACCGTTATTTTAACCTAATACGTGAGAATTTCTTTGTGGAAATTACTTCAAAATTTCTGATACGTATTGTGATAATTTGTTGTAATTTACATCGAAGAAATAATATTTTTTGGTAACAACATACGCTTCTACTTAATTGATATAATTTCAACTTACTATATATTTATATTACTTAAGTATAGTATAGTGTATCGAAATTTTTTGAATAAGATTTGCAAATTATGACAACTTCACGTTTACACCTAGTAAAGCAGTGTATGTAATCCGATTTTATTTTTTGATTAATTTTTTTTGTCTACCGGTAGTTTATTTTATTTTTAACCTGAAAATGGTAATTTAAGTTTCAGTTATAATTATTATTACAAACTTAATTCCCTCTCATTTATTTGTGTTTTTGCATAATAATATTAGTGAAAATAAAATGTTTTTTCTGTACGAGAAACATTTTCATTCTTAAAATTGCATTTCTAAAGCTCGAGGACTGAATTTGAAACATGTTTTGTCTTTAAATATATTTTGTCCATGTTTGTTGTTATAATTATTATATTTTTTTAATTATTTGTATAAACAATTGTTCTTTAAATTAATGTACATCGTTTTGTTTTGAATTATTTTTGTTGTAATTGCTTTTTATAATAATACCAGTTCATTGCAGTTTTGATGTGTGTTTTATTTTTATTTTTTCCGTAGAGCTTTGGTAGTTCATCTGCTGTTGCAACTTTTTTAAATTTATTTAAATCAGAAGCAACTGTATGCATGTTTGTGCTAATGAATTAGCTTATTACATTACAAAAAAATCATTTACAGCTGTAAATATACATAAAAAAATACCTAATATTTTTTTTGCAACATTCACATTTTTCAAACACTTGCACATATCATGTTAAAAAGAATCAAAAATAAACCTACTATGTAAAAATGTTGATTAATGAACGCATTTCAATAAGAGCGTAAGTCTATACTCCTTGGTTCTTTAGCACAAACGTGATGGTGTTAGGCTCATTTGTGTACCGTGTGTGTGTGAACCCTTGGTGTCGGGGAACAATTGGCATGTCGTAAGTATCTGCTTTATCTTAAGTGTATCGCCGATAAGTTACTCTAAGCGACAAGGCCCACATATAAGAAAAAATATTAAAAATTAAACTGACCTCCTTCTCTCTAAAGGAGTGGCAGAAAATAAGATAAACCCAGATTAATAGCACAGTTTATCTGACTTATAATTTAAGTAATAAAAAACATTTAACTAAAAACATATTAGAGTAACTTAAAAGCATTATTAAGTTGGATTAGTAGCAATTCATTACCAAAAACAATTAGTCTTTTTTTCTAATAATATGAGTGCTCCTTAGAAGATTATCATTGAAAGTCTATTGAAAAAAAATGTTTCCGATGCAAATTCTCTATAATAACCTTATCAGACAGTAAAACATTGGTTTTATTATAAATCTGAATCTCATTCACTTAAGTTCATTGGCACTTTATTTGATAACAAATATTTCAATCACAATTCATAATTATTAAAAGTAAAAGTGGTGTGACGAAAGTGTAAGTAGGCTTTCAGTTCCGACAAGGGCCCTTAATAAAGGAGCAAAGCGAGCTGTCACGTCGATGTCACGCGCCACAGGTAAATATAGTTTCATATTATAAGTACACAAAAAATCATCATGCTAAATGAATTTTATGTTGTTTTACGTACTTGCACATTAGTTAATTTTTAAGTTCAAAGCCATATTTAGAAAACATTAATTTTCATTATACTTTCTGATAACTAATCCACAATATTATTTTCACTCCCTAGTGTTTCTCAGTGAGTTAGGCGGTATTATCTAAGCACACTAAAATTTCTATACAAAAATACATATTCTTATGAATGTAGGCTATAAATCTTCGTAAGTAAGTACTATTTGTATTCTAATGTAAGTACCTTATATCCCAACTAAGCTTTACTTTTCTACGAGAACGTAGCTATTAATATGAGTTCTAAGACTCCTTGGATACAGTTCCCCTGTCTCAGCAGCACTGCTTTTGAAGAGCGCTCCCAAGAAACAATATGTCCAAGTCAATTACTCTAGGGAACATTTTACTACTAACTTAGCACCTACTAGTGACGTAAGCGCAAGCTAGGCTTACAAGATCGATTTATAATTTTATACTCAGCAGTTTCTCTTAAGACTAACATTAAGGTCCTTCTTTCGTTACATCGACATTTTAATATTAAACTTAATGTCATCGGATTTGTCATTAGAGTTTCGATTGCCGCTATTCTCCAGTACTAATACATAACAACGTGTCATTGTTAGTATCGATCGATGAAGAAGAGACTTGATCATTGATGAAATTTCAAGCTTTCAGCCACTCATCATTCCCTCATTTAATTTTATTTCCGTTCGAACACCATAAATTCGTCAGGAAGTGTGTAGAGCAAAAATGTAAATAATTCTAGTATAA